GGAAGTGGTGCTGTAGCTCAAGTGGTAGAGCGCTCGCCTTGAGCTGAAGAGCTGAGGGACAGCGCCCAAGCCCAGAGTTCAAGCCCCACGACCGACCAAAAAAAAAAAAAAAAAAGAATCTCATGGACTATCCTGCCTGGACTGGCTCTGAACCATGATCCTTGGATCTCAAGTCTCCTGAATAGCTAGATTACAGGTGTGATCCACCAGTGCCGGGTATACCTATCTGTGAATCTCATACAAGCTTTATGAGTTGTTTTTGATTATGTTATTCTAGAATGTTTTCTTCCCAGGAATGTGCTGAAATGTCTCTATAATTTTGTTCAGATGACTGTAAAACCTGCAAAAGATGTTGCTGCTATTGATATATAACATAATGCTATTTAGTCCCTTTATCTAAGTATGTTTATATTAAATATAAACATGTTTTACAAACATAAACATTTTAATTTTTGGAAACTTCAGCCATGCTGTCAACTTTAGAAAAAATTATCCTAGCAGCTGGGAAGGTGGCTCAGTGGTAGAGCACTTGCCTTGCATGCCTGAGGCCCTGGGTTCAATTCCTCAGCACCACATAAGTGGAAAAAACCTGAAATGGTGCTTTGGCTCAAGTAGTAGAGCATTAGCCCTGAGATAAAAGAGCTGAGAGACAGCATTCAGATTCAGAGTTCAGGCCCCATGACAGACCAAAAAAAAAAAGGTATCCTATTTTTCAGGATTTACTTGACTGGTACTGTACAGAAATTAATAGCCATATTGGTCCAGAAAAGTTAGGGTTTTTTTGTTTTGTTTTGTTTGTTGGTCATGGGGCTTGAACTCTGGGCCTGGGTGCTGTCCCTCAGCTCTTCAGCTCAAGCTTGAGCCACAGTGCCACTTCTGGCTTTCTGAGTGGTTCATTGGAGATAAAAGTCTCACACTTTCCTGTCCCATGCTGACTTGGAATCACCATCCTCAGAACTAAGCCTTGTGAGTAGCTAGGATTACAGGTGTGAGCCACTGGCGCCCATTGCCAAAGGTATACACTGTATTAAATATATAAGGTCTTATCTATGTGGGTTTGATTGTAAAAACAAAGTATTGGCTAAACAATTCTCTAACAATACCAACAAAAAATAAACAGAACTTTCTAATTCTTGCTCAAAACACCCCTATCTTATATAATTTCTCAAACAAAAGGTAGACATTCTTTTCCTTATAGAAACTTTCCAGGAAGGAAAGGAGAAGAAAGCTGCGTGTTAGTGGCTTATGCTTCTAATTCTAGCTACTCAGGAGGCTTTGATAACTGAGGTTGGAAGTCAGAGAAATCTGAGAGAGTCTATCTACAATTAACCAGTAAACGGCTTGAACTGGACGTGTGGCTCAAGTGGTAGAATACTGACCTTGAGTAAAAATGCCAAGCAAAAGTGTAAGGCCCTGAATTCAAGCCCCAGTACTGACATCAAAAGAAAAAGAAAGAAAAAGAAAAGAAAAATTACACAATTATAGAGGGGGAAGATAAAAGTTGAGAGAAAAAAAATCTATATATTCTAAATGGTAGTTGTGTCCCAAGAAAAAATATGAACAAATTTTGCCTCCCAGTCAGGTACATAGCCAAGGCTGTGACCGTATCATGCCAGGTTCTGAAATGTTTTCCCTCAGATATGTATTTCACCCCACCCACGCAGCCTGGTTTCTACAACCCATGTTACCTGGAACTACTCTTCAGCGCCTGAGCCTCATCCAGTACCATGTACTGCCACTTGACCCGCTGGAAATACTTCACATCCTGCACCACCAGCTGATAGCTGGTGATAACTACATGAAAAGGGGCATCCTGAGTATAGAGGGTCTTCTGTAAATAGAACAGTGAAAAGAGATATATGCTTAACAATTTGTAACCATTTACTCAACTAGGGACTGCTTCTTCTAGGGACAATATGTTCAAGAAAGCTCTAAAGATAACTTAACCCACAAGTGTGGTAATGGAGATATGTATGTCAGGTGAACTGCAAATGTGTTTTTGTTTTTGGTCAATCATGGGTCTTGAACTCTGCGCCTGGGTGCTGTCCCTCAGCTCTTCAGCTCAAACTGAGCCTTTACCACTTGAGCCAGAGCACCACTTCTGGTTTTCTGGTGCTTTATTGGAGATAAGAGTCTCACAGACTTTCCTGCCAGACTCAATCTGAACCATGATCCTCAGATCTCAGCCTCCTGAGCAGCTAGGATTACCAGTGTGAGACACTGGCACCCAGCTTTTGCAACTGGGCACAGGTGGCTCACACCTGTAATCCTAGCTACTCAGGACGCTGAGATCTGAGGTTCACAGTTCAAAGCTAGTCTGCACAGAAAAGTCCATGAGACTCTGATCTCCAATAAGCCACCAGAAAACCGGAAGTAGAATTGGGCTTAACTGGTAGCACACTCGCCTAGAACTGAAAAGCTGAACAACAGTGTCCAGGCCCAGAGTTCAAGACCCATGACTGACCAAAAAAAAAAAAAGGAAGAAAAAAAAAAACAGTCACCTTTAGAACAACATATGGTAACAACTTATTGTCAGCTTATTAAAGGAAAAAAACATCTTTTTTGTGCCCATCCTGAGACTCAAACTCAGGGCCTAGAAGCCGTCCCTGAGCTTTTCTGCTCATCTACTTAGCTTGGATTTTGAGTGCAACTGACTACCTATAATAATAAGAGCACTATACCAGAATAAAGGTATACTTGTCATACATGAGATCTTATATGCATAAGAAATGATTCAACTAAAAAAGAAACTGACTGTACAGGAAGCTGAGAGTTACCTGACTCCAGAACCTCCTGATGACTTTTCTATCATGAGGATTTCCCCAATAAGGTAGCACCTAAAAAAAGGATCAAAACATATTATTTGTTATTGATAACAAATATTAATAGTGTAACCACAAATACATTATTCAGATTAAGTTTAAAAGAAATAGAATGAGCTAGAAGCTGGTGGCTCATGCCTATAATTCTAGCTACTCAGGAGGCTGAAATTTGAAGATAGTGAATCCAAAACCAGCCAGGGCAGGAAAGTCCATGAGACTCTGATTGCCAAGTAACCATTAAAAACCTGGAAGTGTAGCTATAGCTCAAGTTGTAGAATGAGAGCTTTGAGCAAAAAGCTCAGGGACTTCCTTCAGGCCCTGAGTTCAAGCCCAGGACTGACTACCTCCTGAAACCTTCTCCTCTTCTCTTCCCCATTCCCACCCAAAACAAACAAACAAAAAGAATCAGAACGAATAGAGAAGTTACTCTTCTGTCAATGGTGGACAACGCAGCTAGGACCATTATTCTGAAGTAAAAACAGCCATAAATAAAGCTGTTTTGAAGGTATGAGAGAGCTACTGTGAAGCAATGGAGAATTTTACAATCTGGAACCAAACACTAAACTCAGCCTGTGACATCTTCCCTCTAATGGTAATGATCCATTCCAAAAGCTGAGCAGGTAAGAAATCTGATGTAGGGTCCACAGAATAAAACTAGTTCAAGCCAGGTGCCAGTGGCTCATGCCTGTAATCCTAGCTACTCAGGAGGCTGAGATCTGAGGATCACGGTTCAAAGCCAGCCCGGGCAGGAAACTCAGTGAAACTCTTATCTCCAATAAAACACTAGAAACTCAGAAGTGGCTCTGAAGCTCAAGTGGTAGAGCACTCGCCTTGAGCTGAAGAGGTGAGGGACAGTGCCCAGGCCCACAGTTCAAGCTCCACGACTGACGAACAAAAAAAGAACAGAAAATTCAAAGTGGTAGCAAGTTACAGTAGTGTTAAAAAAGAAAGTCAATATGCAAACAAAAGCTCAGTGCTAGGCACAGACATACAAAAGGAGCAGAACCACAGAAAGTGGTACCATACTGCCATCTATCCGTCAGTGGAGTAGCTACTAAAACACTTTTGTGGCTTGATAAGAAATGTACTCATTATCTTGCCCATGTAATTGTAACTCCTCTGTACAGTATTTTCAGAATAAATAAAAAATCATAAAAAAAAACTTTTGAGGTTGCATGGAAATTTAGGACTTTTTTTCAACATCTTCTACGTGTACTGAATCACACACACATTTCCCTAAAAAAAGATTATGATCTTCTATACGGCAGACAATTCAAGAGAAAATAATGAACAAACTGAACAATTTAATTTCCTAAGAGCTGAAAATAGGTGCAAAGTTAAAAGCTATATACTAAATATATAAACTGTGAACAGTTTCTAAATCTACCACTCAGCTAACAAAGGAGGGATGGCAACCACAGAGCTGTTCCACACTATGGAATCCCAGCCACATTCCTATTCTTCATAAAAGCCTTACAGCTTGGCTCTCACCTCCACAACAATTTCTGTTTGGAACAAAATATGATCATGGTAAACTAAAATTCGAGATCATACCAATATTCCTTCCGTTCCTCCCTCCCTTCCTTCCTTCCCTTCCTTTTTGCCAATCCTGGGGCTTGAATTCAGCGCCCGGGCACTGTCCCTGAGCTTCTTTTTGTTCAAAGCTAGCACTGTACCACTTGAGCCACAGTGCCACTTCTGGCTTTTTCTGAGTATGTGGTACTGAGGAATCGAACTCAGGACTTCATGCATGCTATGCAAGCACTCTACCACTAAGCCACATTCCCAGTCCTCATATCAGTATTTCTAAATACATAAACTACTTAAAGTCCTCTTGACTATGAGATTTCATTATCCTTTTAGAAACAGAACACGACTATGAGACTTCATTATCCTTTTAGAAACAGAACACATAATTTGCTTTCCACCTTTTTAAACTTCAAGGAATGTAATTAAAGCCTATCCTTTCTTCTATTATGTATCTACATTCCATATCCAAATGTTTGGTTAAACCATGTTCATCTCTTACTCGACTTGATGAAATAAACTTCTGTGCTGATCATGTCCTAATTCAATCTTTTTGAATTAGTTAAGTGAAATTTACATTATCTACCTCAGGCATTATAAGGTGAACAAGAACTAAAGTCTGGCTTGAGAGTATCAAGGAAAGAATATTGAGTCTGGCACCTGTGACCCACCACTGTAATCCTACTTACTGGCTCTTCTCTCACTCACTCACCTCCCCAAGGCCTTTCCTCCAATTCCCTCCCACATCTTTTTTTTTTTGTTTTTGAAACAAAGTCTCACTGCATAGCCCACCTAGTCTCAGCAATCCTCCAGCTTTGGCCTCCCAAATGCTCAGATTACAGGCATGTTCTATGAGGCCTGGCATTAAGATAACAATTTCTATCGCAACAGTTTAACAGGAGCCTCAATTCATGTGGATAAATGAGGCAAATCACTGAAATTGGACTTTGACTTGCACTTATTATATAGAAAAGGGCACAGGTGCTCTTATTGCTTACGTAATTTTTATAAGGAATGGTTGTGAGGTATTTCAGCCATGATGTAGTAATATTAAAACTATTAAAAGAAATAAAGTAGCCGGGCGCTGGTGGCTCACGCCTGTAATCCTAGCTACTCAGGAGGCTGAGATCTGAGGATCGCAGTTCAAAGCCAGCCGGGGCAAGAGAGAATGTGAGACTCCTATCTCCAATAAACCACCAGAAAACCGGAAGTGGCGCTGTAGCTCATGTGGTAGAGCGCTCGCCTTGAGCTGAAGAGCTGAGGGACAGCGCCCAAGCCTAGAGTTCAAGCCCCACGACCGACAAAAAAAAAAAAAAAAAAAGAAATAAAGTTACTTAAGTAAACAAAAGAGAACATTTATTTGAAGGAATAACGTGTCTTTTAAAAAAATGATTATTACTTTTTTACCTTAAATTTAGGAACAAATCTAGTAAACTCCTGGTGCCAATTGTTAAGTGTAGAAGCAGGTGAAATTATTAAGAAAGGTCCCCAAATGTTCTCTCTCTGGAAAAGGAAAATTGGGTAGTCAACAAGAAAGACTTGGAAGACAGTTAAAACAAAATTATAAATTATGACAGTTTAAGAATAGGAAACACATTACAATAAGTGCCTATTTCCCAAATTTCTAAATGTGCACATTCAAGAACATAATAAAGGGGGCTGGGAAGGTGGCTCAGTGGTAGAGCGCTTGCCTTGCATGCATGAGGCCCTGGGTTCGATTCCTCAGCACCACATAAGCAAAAATTAAAAAAAATAAAAAAATAAAATAAAAATAAAAAAGAATATAATAAAGGACACACTATGAGGCAGAACAATCCCAAGCAACTACTGCCCCCTCTGAGTTCCTAAAGTCCTAATTTATGTCTTTATAAAGTACTTACAGGATACTGACTTGTACGCACTATATTCTTCTATACCTGATTATCATAACTTAACTATTTTTAATAATTAATATTTTTTCAAAGTATATTTAGACACATAGTTTCTTATTTAATTGTTGCAAAATCTCTGGAAGGTAAATATTATTCAGAGATTTAAAATGAAGTCAGTTTATTGGAGGCTTAATTGCTGAAATTTACAAGGAAGGAGAGTGTGCACCCCACTACACTGACGGCTACTAAGAGCAGGAGGGAGATAGTAACTCAACCACTAACCCATTTGTTTTGCTACTTTGCCCCCTAGTAAAGGTGTTGAGGGCAAAGATCAAGTACTACGAAGCCTAGCCTAGCACTTTATAAGTAGCTACTTCTCAATACAAAAATGACCCAAAATTCTGGAGACAGGAATATTGAGAGACTGCATTCACATACCTCAGCCAGATGGGCCAGAAGGGCAATGCTCTGTACAGTTTTACCAAGGCCCATTTCATCTGCAAGAATGCCATTAATGCCCTAGGGGGAAAATACATGGTCAACACATAATTTCAATCTACTATTAAGAATTAGGAGATGCTCAGCACCAGCACTTTAAACACAACGTTAATTATTCCTTTTGCTAATACTACAAATGTGATTCATGATCAAGGCCAAGGCCAATTCTTTTGCTTTTTGCTTTTTCCATAGTGATTTTTAGAAAAAATTATTATTAAGTAGTTGTACAGAAAAGGTTTAATTCTATAAGTCAGATTAAGTATAATGTAGCCAAGGCGTCAGTGGCTCATGCCTGTAATCCTAGCTACTCAGGAGGCTGAGATCTGAGGATCATGGTTCAAAGCCAGCCCAGGCAAGGAAAGTCCATGAGACTCTTATCTCCAATAAACCACTAGAAAACTGGAAGTGGTGCTGTGGCTCAAGCAGTAGAGCGCTCGCCTTGAGCTGAAGAGCTGAGGGATAGCGCCCAAACCCAGAGTTCAAGCCTTACGACCAATAAAAAAACAAAAACAAAAACAGTACAATGCATCAAAAGCCACTACTATAGCTAATGTAACCACACAGACGCAAACAACCAAGGTTATTAAGACCACTTACTACAAGCTACACACATGACATAAATATAACCTCCAGGTTAGGAACATAGAAACATCTTTGTGCATCTTGTAAAAAGATAGAAGTTTTAAAGGGCAAAATCTAATTTTGAACTCATTTCATAATTAGACTGTATCAAAAGAAAATGAACAAAAGAAAAGAATTGGCCGGATATACTTCTAAAATTTACCTGTTCATAGAGATTGGCCAACCAATTCATGCCTTTCAGCTGGTAACCTTTTAATTTCCCATTAAAAATCGTGGGCTGTGGAATATCTTCACCAGCCCGGATAGATGGGTTTGCTAGGCTGTAACTCTCCCCAAATCCAGAACCAGACTTGTTTGCTGCCCTCAGGGAAGCTGCTCGACTTTCTTTTGCATCTTCATCGAATGATCTTGTCTAGAAATAATTTGAGAAGAAAAAAGAAATTAAATGCAAATGTGATTCACACCTACCACAACTGTGCTAAGAAAAATAACTGGAACAAATTTTCTGAAAATATAATCTGATAATACAGTATTACACATGAAAGTATTTTATTAGCATTGGTTAACAATTACATTAAGATGCATTTTTAGCCAGGTGATGGTGGCTCATGCCTGCAATCCTAATCAGGAAGCTGAGATCTCAGGATCGAGGTTTGAAGACAGCCCAGATAGGAAAGTTTTTGATATTCATACTTCCAATTAACTATAAAAATGCCAGAAATGGGCTGGGAAGGTGGCTCAGTGGTAGAGCGCTTGCCTTTCATGCTCGAGGCCCTGGGTTCGATTCCTCAGCACCACATAAGATAAAAGCCGGAAGTGGCGCTGTGGCTCAAGTGGTAGAGCGCTAACCTTGAGCTGAAGAGCTGAGGGACAGCACCCAGGCCCAGAGTTCAGGCCCCCCCCAAAAAAAAATGCCAGAAGTGGTTCAAGTAGAGCACTAATCTCGAGCACATGATCTCAGGGATCATGCAGAGGCCCTGAACACTGGCACACACAGACACACACACAAAAGAATATAAAAATAAACCACATTATATTTCTTGCAACATCAAGGAATCTGTTAAAGACTGAAGTTAAATTTGAATAGTTGGTTGGAGGTGTGGAGGAAAGTGGCATGTGCATCTTGTCAAAGAGCTAGATCTTGACAAAGTTGCAAAGAGGATCCTGTAGTTTACAAACTGAATTTTCTACACTTAATTTAATCTCATTAAGGTGTTGATTTTTAATAAACATCTCTATATCATGATAAGAGAAAGCATGTTTACTAAAATGAAAGAAGGCAAAGCCAGGCCCCCAGGGGCTTATGCCTGCATTCCTAGCTACTCAGGAGGCCAAAATTTCAGGACTGCAGTTGAAAGTCAGCCCAGGCAGGAAAGTCTATGAGATGCTTATTTCCAATTAACCACCAGAAAACTGGAAGTGGCTCTGAGGATAAAAGTGGTAGAGTGAGCAAAAAGGCTCAGGGACAGCACTCATGCCTTGAGTTCAAGCCCTACAACCATCCACAAAAAAGAAGGTGAAATCTAACAAAGATACCTCCTTCTGTATAACTAATGTGAATGCTAATAAAAAAAATAAGAAAAGCGTTCTAACCTCAATCAGCCTACTTTTCCCCAGGTATTAGGAATCAAAATCAGGACCAATGTGTATGTTAGGGAAGCACTCTATCATGTTCTCCATTCATCGAGCAATTTTTGCTTTAGCTGTGTTTTTTGTGTGTGCGCAGGGCTTCTAGAGCTGGAGCTCAGGGCCTGGATGCTTTTTGACTCAAGGCTAGCACTATACCAGTTGAGCCACAGCTCTCTTCCTGGCATTTTGGTGATTAAGACTCTAACAAACTTTCCTGCCCACGCTGGCTTTAAACCATGATTGCCAGATCTCAGCCTAAGTTGCTAGGATTACAGTTTATGAGCCACTGGTACCTGGCTGTTTTAGCTAATTTTTAAATAAGGTTTTATGTTTAACCTCAAGCCAGCCTAGACCACAATTCCCTGGGATAGCAGGTGCACTATATCTCATGTTGTTTTTTATGGTTGAGATGGGGGTCTTATAAACTCACTATTAACTTCTAACTGTGATCCTCCCAACATCCATCTCAAACATAGCTAGAATTACAGGTGTGAGTCACTGCACCTAGCTCAAACAATATGCTCTAAATGCTTAGCCAAGTGAATAGCTATTAATCTGCCTTTCTTCAAATAACCAACAGCCATCATCCTAAAACACACACACACACACACATGCGTGCGTGCACGCCAATATTTTCTAGTGAAAATATTAGAACACCTAACTAAGATTGTGGGGTATTTCTGGGCCAGGACCAATTATAACACACTTTGTTGTTTTTAAGACCTACCCGAGCTTGATGAATATGGTAAGCATTTTCAGCATTCTTCAGGGCCTGGGCTTTAAAGTGGTTGCTGTCTGAAAAGGAAAACATGTAGATCATCACACCTCAAAGCCTTCAAAGACAAAATTAACATCAACAAATACAGTTACCTGATCCAGCATTCAAAGCCAGCCTGGGCAGGAAAATCCCTGAGACTCTTATCTTTATAGGTTGATGGGGAGGAGAAAAAAAGTTAAATTCCTTAGCAAAGGTAAGAAGCTAGAAAGCATAATGGAGGCAGAGGACTGCCATGGTTTCTAGTAGCTGAAACCAGTTTAGAAAAAAACAGCAAAGGATTAAGTTCTTCTGTCTCTCAAGCCTCGGCTTCACCTAATAAATGATGACATCAGTCATGACAATCAAGAGTATGAGAAGTCAAAATTATAATTATGCTGAGTAAAACTAGGCAGATGAATATAAAGCACTGTCATTCTCTCATACTTTTAGCTTTTAGGTCAACATGATGTTGATCTATCTACGCAATTCCTTTCAAATTTGACCCTACATTTTTGTCTCCACTATTAAAAAAAAAAGTCAAAAACCAGTAGCTCACTCCTATAAACCTACTCAGGAGGCTGATCTGAGAATCAAGGTTCAAAACCAGCCTGGACAGGAAAGTCCCTGAGACTCTTATCTTCAATTAACCACCAGAAAACCAGAAGTGGCACTGTGGTTCAAAGTATTAGTCTTGAGTAAAAGTGCTCAGGAACAGCCCCGAGGCCCTGACTTCAAGCCCCATGATGAAAAAAACATGCAAGTTGGGAATGTGGCTTAGTGATAAGAGTGCTTCCTTGGCATGCATGAAGCCCTGGGATCGATTCTTCAATACCACATACAAAGAAAAAGCTGGAGGTGGCGCTGTGGCTGAAATTGTAGAGTGCTAGTCTTGAGCATAAGAAGCTCAGGGGCAGTGCTCTGGCCCTGAGTACACACACACACACACACACACCCTAAACAACTCTTGTTCACAGCACCAAGAATGTTCTTGTGTGAGATATTCTCTGAGACGTTTTCTGAATTGTGATTCAATAACACGATACATATTTTCACACACACACACCCTAAACAACTCTTGTTCACAGCACCAAGAATGTTCTTGTGTGAGATATTCTCAGTGCCCTGGCCCTGAGCGCGTGCACACACGCACGCACGCGCACGCACGCACACACACACACACACACCCTAAACAACTCTTGTTCATAGCATCAAGAATGTTCTTGTGTGAGATATTCTCTGAGACGTTTTCTGAATTGTGATTCAATAACACGATACATATTTTCACACACACACACCCCTAAACAACTCTTGTTCACAGTACCAAGAATGTTCTTGTGTGAGATATCATTCTCTCTGAGACAAGTTTTCTAAATTGTGATTCAATAACATGATACATATTTTCAAACTTGCAAGGCCATGTAACTATACATTTTCTTTTACAAATTTGTTATTTTATAGCCTGCTTTTCTAGAAACACAAATACTCTGCTATAATACAACAAATCTCCCTTGTTTTTGTTCGTCATGGGGCTTGAACTCTGGACCTGGGCGTTGTCCCTCAGCTCTTCAACTCAAGGCTAGCACTCTACCACTTGAGCCACAGCACCACTTCTGCTTTACTGGTGGTTAATTGGAGATAAGAGTCTCACAGAAGCTGGGTGCCAGTGGCTCATGCCTGTAATCCTAACTACTCAGGAGTCTGAGATCTGAGGATCACAGTTCAAAGCCAGCCGGGGCAGGAAAGTCTATGAGACACTTATCTCCAATAAACCACTAAAAAACAGGAAGTGGCACTGTGGCTCAAGTGGTAGAGTGCTCGTCTTGCATGCATAAGACCCTGGGTTCAATTCCTCAGCACCACATAAGCAGTAAAAGCCAGAAGTGCTGCTGTGGCTCAAGTGATAGAGCACTAGCCTTGAACTGAAGAGCTGAGGGACAGCGCCCAGGACTAGAGTTCAGGCCCGCGACAGACAAAAGAAGAAGAAGAAGAAAGAAAGAAAAAGAAAGAAAGGAAGATGGAGGATTTTTACTTCTTCTTACTCCTGACCTATGACTTACCATAATCCTCCTGTGTGATGTTAACTACCACTCCTCCACCAATGTCAATCTGTCTCTGAGTAGAACTGTCTTCCAGTTTCCTTAGGATTTCTTCCTGGATTCCATCGTAATTCATATCTCGTTTCCGGCTCATAAAATGGGCATACAACTCTGTTTGGGTGATTAGAAAGTTGAGTTTTCGTTGTTGCCTCTTGGCCTAAAGTAGGAAAGTTGAAAGTAAAAGTAGTCATCAATTCCATCCAAGACAGTCAACATAATTGATCAAATCTTATATATTTTATGTACAATTCTTAAAAACTTTCACCTATAAAAAGGTAAAAACTGCTGTAGAGCTGTTTTACTTTAGACAAGTCAATGATACTAAAAGCAAGAACTGTGATTCATAGAACAATAACCTTTGTTTTGCTCTTTTTCACATATAGAATCTTCCATAGGCTTCTGTCTAAAAGGGCATGTTGGAGGTGTGGCTCAGTCATAGAGCACCAGCCAATGAGTGAAAGCAAGTGTCAGATACTAAGTTTGAGTCATAGTCTCAAAACAAAAAAATAAAATAAAAATAAATAAATAGGGCATCATCCGTATATTTGTTTTCTATAATGACAATAAGACATCAAGTAAATCTGAACGTTGTTTTATAAACCAGGTGGTAAATGTGTTTCATTTTATTATTTTTAAAAATTCGAACAGGTAAAAAAATTGTCCTTTATTGCCAAAATGCAAAATGGGTAAAAGCTACAAATGATTTTGAAAATCAATACAACAAGTAAATAATAAGCTAATTGGAAAAGGAAAAAACATTTATAGTTCATCTTTGATAAGCACTGTTGTAAGACATGAATAATAAGCTGGGTATGGTGGTACATGCCTATAGCCCCAGCACTTGGGAAGGGAGGCTGAGGCAGGAGGCTCACTTAAAGCTCCCAACTTGAAATCTCCCCGGGGAACATGATGAGTGAGATTCCATTACAGCATTCAACCGTGCATATATGTGCATCACACTCACACTCACACAATACCAAAACTTGTGAAGACACATAATTCAATATGAACACAAATGAAATTCCCATCAGATGCTATCAACAAAAGATTCTAAGTCACACAAACCTAGATAATACTCAGCAAACTCTTTATATAAATAACTTCAAGGTCTGTAGCTGACTCAAATGCCTCTAAATTTAACGTGTGAAGCAGTTCCAACAGCAACAAATGCTTACTCACTCAATAATACATTTACCTTGCAAACAAAGAAACATTAACCAGGGGATTTTACGAGATCTAAGCAAAATCCATAATCATTCACAAAACCATGACAAAGAAATGAAACCAGATGTGGTGGTGCACAATGGTAATTCCAGCAATCGAGAGGCTGATGTGAAAAAAAAAAAAGGATTGCTAGTTTGGGGCTGGCCCAATCCAATAACCCCAGATTTCTGGGGCTTCAGTGGTACAGTAGTTGACAAACAAGTGCAAGGCCTTGTTCAATTCTTAGCACTAAAAGAAGTGCAAGCTGCAAACCAATCTCTTGATATGCTGGAGGTAATTAAGGTTCTGAAATTTTCACACTTTCGCACTACCTCCCGCATTTCCTCATCCAATTTCCGCTGCTCCAAAGCTTCTTTCTCCGCACGCTTGCGGTGTTCCTTCTCCACCTTCTCATATTTCTTCCAGTACAGAAGCATCTCCTTAGTCAGGCGTCGCGCACGAGGCAAAGTCTCCTTACAGTTTTTCTGGGCTTGCAAGGCAGCTCTTCGCACCTCCTTCATGCACTGGTGGGCAAGCTACAAACAACAATACTGTCACTACAGGTGAAAAGTCAACTGCAAGAGACAGTTCTCCTGGACTGAACACATCATCATCCCTGTTCAATGCCAACAGTTCTCCTTGTGACACATCTCCTTCTCCCTTAACTAGATTCATTTTGTGACTCAGGCCCAGACCCTAGGGTAATATCAACAATTAAAAATTTATCTATTATTTATGGCCTTGAATAAACCAAAGTATAATGACTAAAAAGAACTTCAGGTGTGCTAGTAAGCTATAAAGTGTTATCATGACATTAATAAGAATCACTACTTAATATGCAGTAAGATCATTTTACCTTTAAAAAAAAACCCTATGAAATTGGTAATATCATCACCTCTATCTTACAAATGAAGAAACCAGAGAGGGTAAACAGTAATGTTACTTCAATCTGATTCTCACAACCCTCCAAAGTTGTGTTCCTTCCCTCTGAGTGAAATGTTTGCATGCCATCACTTAGAGGAAGACAGAGTAGAGGGAGAAGTCATTATCTGCTCAATACACTAAGACTATGGTCTTCTGTAAAAAGTGCCAAATACCAGAAATGCGAGGGAGAACAACTTTGATTACTAAAAAGAATGAGACCTATTTACTCTTTTAGATACTATTATTAGATTAATGATAAACAGATCATAACAGAGTAGCAAGAATGAATCCAAGAACAAAAACAAAGACAAGATAGAAAATATAAAGCTACAACTTACCTTGCGGCTATTGGTGAGAAACAGGTTTCGAGCTGAAGCTTTCTGCTTGTTGGCCTAAAACATTTAAAAGTAGTATTTCACCTAGGATTCATTTTTGAAATTGGATTATGTAGGCTGACACTATCATTTATTGAACTCATAAAGACTGAAAAATAAAATGCCGAATGTACAAGAGACATTACTTCTAAAAACCACCATGGTTGGACTGGGATGTAGCTCAGTGCAAGCTCTTGCTTAGTGCAACATGCTAGGCTCGATCCCAGTATCAAAAAACAAAAAACAAAAAAACCACCAGTTGTATGTCTTGGCACTGAACATAAAGCAACAATGGAAGAAGCCAAAATCAGCTAGTCCTAGAGTTGCCTTTAAATAGTATTCTATAAACTTGTAGAAAGAGCGAGGTGCAGGTGGCTCATGCTTGTAATCCTAGTTATTCAGGAGGCTGAGATCTGAAGATACAGTTCAAAGCCAGCCTGGCAGGAAAGTCCAAGAGACTCTTATCTCCAATTAACGATCAGAAAACCACAAGTGGCACTGTAGCTCAAGTGGTAGAGCACTTCTCTTGAGCAAAAGAATTCAGGGACAGCACCCAGGCCCAAAGCT